ATTCTCGGCGACAAATAAAATGTGGCTACGGAGAGCTTTAGTGAAGGTATACTTCATTTTAAATTTTTAAATTCACTAGTGGTCCGCTTGACAAATTAATATTTTTCCATTAATTAATGTTTTTAGTTGAGATAAAAAAGTCAGTGTCACGAGCGGGATTCGAACCCACGAACTTCGGCTAGATATGCCGCTGCTTTACCCCTTGAGCTATCGTGACTTCGATCCGCTGGGACACTAACTTCCCATCTCAACCCCACCTTTTAATTTTTCCTCCTTTTTGCCATTTTCAAATGTCGTGTAATCTATTGTTCTTCTAGGATTTGTCTAATCTATGCTCTAAGTTTTTGCCGAGCTTTCGACGATTATACGTTCATCATCAGGGCTTTAACTAGGTGAGAGTTGAATTATATCTTGAGAGCAAGAAACTGCATTTTTAATAAAATAAAATTAGGTGAAGCTCAGCACCTCGGTTAAATATAACTATAAGTACATGTCTCTTTTTCTTAAAATAAATAATAAAATTACTTTTTTTCTCGGGTACATTAGAATATCACAGTTGAGATTAGTTAAGCTTTCTTTTGAATTGTACTGTATATAGATAACTCAAAATAAAAGTGCCAACTTAGAACAAAAGGGAGAGACATGAGGCTCAGGTGGCTTTTCAGTTACAAGTTGTCAAGCTCGGCAAAAACTTAAAGAATTGTTGTTTCTGGTGTGACCTCGCCGAAGATCGTTCTGTTCAAGTTGTTCATCAAGCAGGTAGCAGGTTGTACATCATCTCATCTTAGTATATATATTAATGGTTTGGAATTAACCTGATAAGTACCTTTCATACTGATATCTTGCCGAATCCGTCAGGGAACTGAATTCCCACCTCATATACGCATTACGGCGGGTGTTCCTCAGGGAAGCATACTTGGCCCATTTCTATTTTCAGTATAAACTGCATATTCCTACACCTGCTAACATTTCAACATATACATTCGCCGATGAAATATCGTACACATAATTCGGACACATCAATTAATACTCAACACCTGAATGAATTACCAGTTCACAAAGTGGAAAATGAAGATAAACCTAACGAAAAGCGTACAGATAATTTTACCTTACGTAAAAATATCTGTCCTGCAGTGAGTACAAATGGAATCTCGTTGCCTACCGAGCTCCCACAAGAGACTCAAATTACGAATTCAACATATATGAACATATTTATTTAATACAATATTTGTAGTTGTAAATATCAAATAAATTTAATTTAAAAAAAAAGCAATTAACCTGTCGACGAGGAAAAACTTTTTACACAGATTGTTTAGTATAGGGATCGACCAAAGATCAAAGGTTGGGAGAAAATCAGGGTCTGGTCAATTGTGATTTTCTCCCAACATTTCCTGAAAACTACCCGTCGGAAGATGCTTCTCTTTTTACTGGATTTTGGACGAATTACACAACTGAAAATAAATACTTTGTGCGTTATCTTGGACTTTTCATGGATAAACGACTGACTTGGAATCCCCACACAAGACTGAAAAGACAGCAAACACACCGACATTATAAATTATTACAAAAAGACTACTACGAAAAAAAAGAAATTAGACATTGAAAATAAACTTTTAATTTACAAAACAATGATAACACCTTTCTGGGCGTACGGTTGTGAAGTGTGGGGCTCAACCAAGGATTCCAATTCCCGTCTGTAATCAATCCATCTAATCGATTTATTATATCGTCGTATTATAAATGCTCCTTTTTACGTTTCAAATTGCGCTATTCATAACGACGTATCACTGAACACACAAAATAATCTATTAGTACGATAGTTATCACGTCCAACCCTATCTGAAAATCCTCTAAGACAATTGAAGCGAAAGTGCCCCGACCGACACCTTCTCATTAAGTGATGATTGAAAATATTTCAGTGTGAAGGAGTGTTGCTACTGGGATCTCCCACAAGAGACTCAAATTACGAATTCAACATATGTGAACATATTTATTTAATACAATATTTGTAGTTGTAAATATCAAATAAATTTAATTTTAAAAAAAAGCAATTAACCTGTCGACGAGGAAAAACTTTTTACACAGATTGTTTAGTATAGGGATCGACCAAAGATCAAAGGTTGGGAGAAAATCACAATTGACCAGACCCTGATTTTCTCCCAACATTTACTGAAAACTACCCGTCGGAAGCTTCTCTTTTTACTGGATTTCGGACGAAATACACAACTGAAAATAAAAGCAAAAATGAGAAGTATGCGAGCTGAGATAGAACGGGCGCAATTCACTAAATTAATATTTCATTTTCCAAGTCGCGGATTTGAAGTTTGCAATCCTTAACTTCAAGGAGATCCTGACGCCGGAAAGGACACTTAGGAAATTCCGCCTTTTGTCTCAAGGATGCGTCGAATGTCTTGACAATTTGTGAATTTGACATGAGGTACAATAATTGACAAAGACTACTATAAAGGCTAATATTTGTATCAACAATAAATTTATTTCTGCGACTTACTTATCTAATTTAATTGATATTGGGCTAGATTATAGTTTGCTTGCGTTGGGACTGAAATGACCTAGCTGTCGACGGCTCTGGTTGGAGCCTAGCCCCGTTCCGTTGGTCGGGATGTGCCGATCTCCTGGTCTTCTGGCTTAAGAATGATACTAGCGACCCACACTAGAGTCAACACAACGGGGTGACAACCCTCCGGGATGAAAGTACAAGAACTAAATTCTTCATGGACATTAATTGAAAAGAAAAAATATCCGAGAGAAAATTGTTACCTATCGCAGCCAGGTTGAGATAAATATGACGGAGAACGCGTAATAGGACGAAGTATTATCACAATCTTAGCGTCGTAGAAGGCAAATCGATAAATAAGATTATCAACATCTATATCGATATTGTTAATTAGTTATTCAGAAATCGTGAGATGCGGTGTGGTGAGATGTAAGTTTCAGAAAAACATTTTTTTTTATCATGCCAACGTTTCGATCTTTATTCAGATCATCTTCAGGGCCTGGGATTTACAAACAATGTTTAAATTTAACAAAAACATGTAGGATGTGGAAAAAAGTGAATTTATACAATGGAAAAAAAATATTTTTTTATGTGTGGAGATTAGTGACCGTTAGTCGATGATGCACACCAGACCGCATCTCACGATTTCTGAATAATCAAATTTTTTTATATTCAAAGTATTTCTACCTACATCACACCAGACCGCATCTCACGATTTCTGAATAATCAAATTTTTTTATATTCAAAGTATTTCTACCTACATCACACCAGACCGCATCGCACGGTTTCTGAATAATCATATTTTTTTATATTCAAAGTATTTCTACCTACATCACACCAGACCGCATCTCACGATTTCTGAATAATCAAATTTTTTTATATTCAAAGTATTTCTACCTACATCACACCAGACCGCAACTCACGATTTCTGAATAATCAAATTTTTTTATATTCAAAGTATTTCTACCTACATCACACCAGACCGCATCTCACAATTTCTGAATAATCATCAACTAACGGACACTAATCACCACACATTGATAATTAGGTTAATTTAACGTATTTTTTAAATTCGACATTAATACAAAACTAGTTCATGGTACATAGAATTATTTGGTATTAACGGTTATTCCATGTTTTAACGTCTGGGGCCTTTGTCTTTTTTCTCTAAGGGTTTACGATTTGCAAACGACCTACCCTTTTCCGTCTGTTTTATACATTTGATTGCTCAATTTTACATAATTTTCCCCGATTTGATATTGCTTAAAAAAAATCTGTTGACCGTTACTTAAAAAAAAATTAAATCAACAGACATTGGCGATCTGGGTACGTTCTTGGAGGAGGTACGTAAACAAGGGGTTTTCGACTAAAATCAACTCGGCCGCTTCCATTATTTTCGCCTTTTCCGGAGCCACACTCAGCAATACTTATGAAGTGCCCCTCGTATTTATTTAAGAATATATATTGGTCAGTGGACAGTCCGACGCCATAATGTTTGCTGGAATACTTATTTTCTTCCTCTTGCGTTATTTTTATTTCTGTTTAGAACTATACAATATCATCTTTGTGAACAATTTGACATTTCATATTTGAAGAAAAATGGAAACGTTCAATGAACAAAAATTTTGCCTGGATTTTATTTAAAAAAAAGAATTTTGCAATAACAAAAATAATGACTTGTTTTTCTCCCTTTTAAATATTTTTACGTGTTTTCTTCTTGTTGACCTTCTTCTGCGCTGACTTTGATTAACGTACATATGTACCGTAGCGTGCATATTTAAAGTATTACTACACGACCAGTTGAAGTGGAATGGAAATCTGGTTTAGAGGAAGGAAAGAAATCTGATAATTAGGTTCTCGGAAAATTGCCCCCATCCCTCCAATACTTCACCCTAACCAATCGTTCCCCGGAGCGCCGGATTATCGGAATGGAGTTTGTACTGGGTTTAATGATTTTATCAGCCACCAATGACAAATAATTAATCGCGCCAGATGAAATCAAGCATAACTAAGCAGAAACTTACATCCTGGAGTTTTACCCAAAATTTTGTACGAGTTACATTTCAAAATTTATTAATTATAATTTGTTACGCTGTGTGAATTCCACGTTTGAGTGGAAATTTATCTTTGAGTCGAAGCTGGAATGATAAAGTATTAAAACATTTATAATTTATCGCAACATTTATACTTGCTCTTGTATATCTTTCCTTGCGAACGAGTTAATCATAAATCGCGGGGTGAGTTAATCAGTGTCACTTTCGTGAGAGCGGTTGACCGATATTTAATTATATTCAATGCAAGTTTAATTTTAAGGCGAATTGTGACATAAGAATCGAAAGCGATGAATACCGATTTATTATTCCAATGTGGACACTCGTCTCATTGTTATTCGACCAGGGCACAGCAATGATTCCCGGCCAAGGTGTTGATGTAGTAAGGGCAGCCTTAGACATACATATATATATTCCATGTGAGGAGCTGTGCCGTTATTTGTAGACCAACCTCGACTAAGTTAACACCATGAGAGTAAGTAAAAGAGTCGAGAGTATAATCAGCTTGTACAATAACATGAATGTTCGACAGATAGCACTTGTGGTTTTGGTCGTCGCCGCGGCCGTTCACGGCGATGACGCTCCGTACCCGCCTTCAGGATGGAAACCGGAGGGAGCTCGTTTGGCTCTTCCGAATGAAGGATCGGGACAGTACGGGCCGCCGACCAACGAATACGGACCACCGCAGAACGGAAATCAGCCGCCTTCTAATGGATACGGTCCGCCGCCTTCCAATGGATACGGTCCGCCACCTTCCAATGCAAACCCACCGCCTTCTAATGGATACGGTCCGCCACCATCCAGCGGAAACCCGCCGCCATCCAATGGATACGGTCCGCCACCTTCCAATGCAAACCCACCGCCTTCCAATGGATACGGTCCGCCACCTTCCAACGGAAACCCACCGCCTTCCAATGGATACGGTCCGCCACCTTCCAATGCAAACCCACCGCCTTCCAATGGATACGGTCCGCCACCTTCCAACGGAAACCCACCGCCTTCCAATGGATACGGTCCGCCACCTTCCAATGCAAACCCACCGCCTTCCAATGGATACGGTCCGCCACCTTCCAACGGAAACCCACCGCCTTCCAATGGATACGGTCCGCCACCTTCCAATGCAAACCCACCGCCTTCCAATGGATACGGTCCGCCGCCTTCCAACGGTTACGTCCCACCACCCAACGAATATGGACCACCAAGCAGCGATTCTGCCGGTCAAGCCACTCAAGTTCGTATATTCATATTTTCGAGTAATTATTTTGATGTTATTTTGTCGTTATTCGTTTTGGACTGCCTAACTTCCCTGGTTTCGTCTGTCACTTTGGGATTTCGTCATATTCAGTGTTGGATCTAGGGGTCAATAGACCACATGGAGAAATATCACAATTTCTCTCTACTCCTGTGGCAAACGAAATTTTAAACATTTATTGAAATATAAAATACAACACCTTGAGACTAGTAAAGGAAAAATTAGAACAATTATAATTTCAAAAAGTAAAAAATATCCATACATACTTTTTAAAGAAAATTAACTTTTTCAAAGCTGATATTTAATTCCTAATATAATTTACAGTGTTTAATAGTGTAATTTACTTTTATTTGATATTTTATAGAAGGTATAATCATTTTTGTTTTTCCAGAACGAAACCGATCTGGAAAAGGCGAACGAGAGATTGATGGAGAGGCTCAGATCTGTTGAAGGTTCAGACAGAGGCGTTTACTATGTTTACCTACCCGACGGAAGGCTCCAGCGCGTACAGTACACAACAGCACCTCTTCGAAAAGCCCCTTCGGGCAACACCAACCATCCGAGCTTTCAGAACAATCAGCAGTCGAACACGCAGTTCGTGCTAGGAAGCCACCAGACCAACTTCCAAGAAAACGAGCAGGTCTTGCCTCATCATTACCAGAGGGCGTTGGAACAACAGTTCGCACGTCTCCAGTCCAACAACGGCCACAGCCAGGAACCGGAGCCATCGGGCCATCCCAGCAACCTTTTCGCTAGGTACAATGCTCAGCAGTAAAATAGTTCTAAACAAGTGATGCCCGTTTTTTTCCATCAGGAGCCTTTTGTAACTAATCGATTTGTCCGTTCTGCCTGTAATTTTTAATTTGCATAAGTACATATTTTATTTTTGTTATAATAAAGAAATAATTTATGGTAGCCTGTGGTTTTACTTCAAAGGGTGAGTAATTTTTCAAACATATCCAATTTCGTTTTTTATGGAAAGAATATTAACAGACCGTTTGAAGGACAGTTTTTATTAACAATGGACGTACTATTAAAATATATAAAATAAATGCGCAATATAACAAAATTATCTGTCAGAAATTAACCTCGTTTTTTTTTTTTTATTTTTTTAAATGGAAATAATTGTGCGATGTTAATGTTTGACAAAGTTGTAAAATGCGCTTGACAATTGTTTTAAAACTAATTATCAATCATGAAAATCGATTTACCAACTTTTGAGAAAAATGATGTTAGCGCTTGCGCTAGGAATGTCAGTCAATTTCAACATTCAAATTTTTTGGCAAAACCAGGGCATATTCGCAAGATAGGGTGTCCGGCATTTTGGAGTGTAGAATCACCAAAAAACGTTTGGGCCAAAACCGTGACCCATCAACCTGGTCGTCTTCTAGCCAAAGGTCCGTGGGTACGAACCCCGCTCGTGACACTAACTTTTTCATCGTAACCTTAAGACCTTAGATAAAAAGAATAATTAATTGAAATACATAATGTTTAATTTTTTCTAGATTGAGTTTTTTTTATAAAATCAGGAAATCCCTGTGAAACACTAAGGTCCTTAATGATTTACGACCATCTAAATAACAGTAAATTTTTATTTAAAAGAACATATTAAAAAAATCTATTTTGAAAGAGACAAAGATACATTTTTGTTTTATTTAGACCAACCAAGCTCTATTGTTCTAGTCCGATAATTTTGATATATTAGAATACATATAATAATTAGGTATTAGGCAAATCACAAGTCAAACTGCCATAAGGTTATGGTATAAAACCAGTGCTCATTTTATATCCAATATTTCAAGTGCGAAAGGGCCCAATAAAATTAATATCCACAAAATCAATAACTTCGGTGGGCCGCTCAGTTGTTATAGGTGAAACCGGAGGGGGGCTTACAGAATCGGGCAAACTGGATGAAACGTGGAAGACCTGTTAGGAGAATATATTAAATAAAATCATAAAGGGAGAAGGATGGACGATCCAATTACGCCACTCACCTAACACATCATCACTGTACCGAATCGATACAGACGACTGGGAAATTATTCCAAGAAATTCCAGAATGAACACGTAGAACGGGGCTACATGGCGGCCGTCTGTAACGCGCTAATATTATAAATACAATTAATCGATAAAAGCTACATTAGGCCAACGTACTAATGATCAAAAGCCCTTTTAGTTCAATTACCTTGCAAAGTTGATTTAACTGAACGAGACATATCTGTAAATACTCTTCACGCCTTGCTTCATTCAGATCTTTAAAAACATGACAGGCCATATAAAATCTCTACCCCAAGTTTTGGGGTCAATCCTCTAATTTTTGATCAATCTTCCCTTCAAGAAAAAGTGATAAAATAACCTGGCAGGAGTTAACCTGTGAATGCTCCTCGATTTACATAACAAGCTTTTTTTGTTAAATCGTTACGTAGCATAGTTATATAGTTTTATAAAATTACCTACGAGTAGTTTCAATAAAATTGTGAATTATAATTTTGTGTTAATTTATCCATTTTTCCCTTTGTAAGAATTATTTGCTATAGTTCTACTGTAAAAATGTTTAAGAAAAACAGAATTAACATTTTGGTGAACTTAATCAAAATGTGAACGAAACTTCCCTCCTAACGTAACGTGTTTCCGATTGACACCAAGACTAATTTTAAATTAAAGGTAGTAAAAGTCATTTATCATGCAAATAAATACAAACTTCATCACTGATGAGTTGGTGTTTCGGGGGGAACCGAAGTCACGAAAGTGGTTGGAACAGCGGCATTTGGGTTCGAGTCCCGGTTATGACACTCTCAACCACACTTTAGTTAAAAATTATAAGCCAACTTAAATAATCACTTTGGTTAACTAGATCAATCTAAAAACATATAAACTTCATCAGTGACTTCTTCTTGAGGTGTTCTGTAGTTTTATCGTTTAATACTTAATTATCCTGTCTGTCAGAAAAGTTTCGTTATTTCTCAATATTCAGTGGTGGGGTCGAGTTATTATCCTTGATCGAGATCCTTTTTATTAAGTAATGAAAGGTGAAAGATGCGTCGGTGTTGTCCTCCTCGTCTTGGCAATGTTCTGATGATTACGACAATGCAATTTCAGTTGTCCAAAGTGTGTGAATATTTTTTTTCTGAAATTCCCAAAATCCATTACAGCATGGCTACCTGAAAATTATGATTTATGTGGTTCGTTGAAGTAGTAATAATTAGGGTTTAGTTCCTTAAATTTACTAATTTCGTGGTCCGCTTGACCAATTAATATATTACAATTAATTAAGGTTTTCAGTTGAGATAAAAAAGTCAATGGCACGAGCGGGATTCGAACCCACGATCTTCGGCTAGATACGCCGCTGGTCTACCACTTGAGCTATCGTGACCTCGATCCACTCGGACACGGAAATAGATTACACGACATTTGAAAAATGGAAAAAAAGGAGGGAAAATTAAAAGGGTGGGGTGGAGATGGGAAGTTAGTGTCAGAGCTCATGTGGTAGAGTAGGGGCGTATCTAGCAGAAGGTCGTGGGTTCGAATCCCGCTCGTGCCATTGACTTTTTTATCTCAACTAAAAACCTTAATTAATTGTAATTAGGGTTTAGGTTTAGTTGAAATTTGTCAAAGCGACCCTTTTTCGGACAACAGATTTTTTTTATGGTTTTTATTTGTAAATGAACAACAACTATTACAATACTATCTCTTTGACCCACACCCAAAATGATTATATTTATTGATTCTTACAAATTATTTTTTATTAACACCAATGGAGATGTGTTGCAATTTTAGCAAAATAAACTACGTATTACAAAAATCTATTATCAATTGACAAATTTTTTTTAAGGGGAAAAACTTTGAGCGGGCTAACTTTTTTCTGTGCCTAGCAATCACTTATCACCAGGATGATAGGGAACAAAACATTTACAGATTTATGCAATTGTTTTAATTTCTGATTATTCGATGGGATTTTCTCTCCTGCTTTAACTTATTACTACAGTAATATGCAACAGACATTTAAAAATCGAGATTATTCAATTGGCCATAAAGAACGGAAACGACTAAACTACATAATGAGTTTTCGGAACCAAACCGCTCTTGACACTAGCTTTTTCATTTCAACCAAGACCTTAATAAAAAGAATAATTAATTGAAAGACGTAATATGATCAATCAGACCACTAAACATAATGGATTTAATAATGCATTATGTTTACTACAGAAGAAATAAACTAGACTGATGGATAGATAACCTCTGCATCCCTTGGAAATGGTTTTTGATAAAAATACTAAGGAATAAAGATACTCAGCACCAAGTAATCAAGTCCCAACTCTTCTATGCTGTTAGGACCTGGATTTCGGTTAGTTGGTCCCAAATGGGTTCGAATCCCGCTCATGACACTGACTTTTTTATCTCAACTAAAAACCTTAATTAACTGAAAGATTAATTGGTCAAGCGGACCACGAAAACTAGTGAATTTAATATGTTAAAATGAAGTATACTTCACTAAAGCTCTCCGTGGCCATTTCATTTGTCGCCGAGAATCCAATCCGATTACACGACATTTGAAAAATGGCAAAAAGGTGGGGTTGAGATGGGAAGTTAGTGTCCGAGTTGATCGAGGTCACGACATGTCAAGTGGTAGAGCAGCGGCGTATCTAGCCGAAGATCGTGGGTTCGAATCCCGCTCATGACACTGACTTTTTTATCTCAACTAAAGTCAACCTTATATAATTGACAGATGTTAATTCGTCAAGCGGAACACGAAAACTAGTGAATTTAATAGATTTAATTTTAAACCAAATAGAGTATGTTTTAAATTTGCAAGTGTATGGAAAAGTAAATATTGTATTAATATACATTTTATAATATATATTATGGAAATATATTTTGGAACGTTTTCCTTAATTTGTCGTTTATTTTTTTTTAATTATTCGTGGTAGCAGTTATTATTTTATATATAATCTTTTGCATTGTTTTAAATAAATTTACCATTGACCATGCATGAATCTATTGTAAAATAAAACAAAATATATTTGAAGTAACTTTTTAATCAGATTTTACGAAACATCGCCTCCACCGTTCTTAATTCGATGATATCCCTGTTTTAGGCGATTTCCGCCAAAGGGATTTTAGGGAGTCGGGCCGTGGGTGTTATTGGACGTTTTAAACAAATAACGTGAAATCGGCTTTGAGTGGATTACATCCGCTCCTGGTCTCTCGTGACTATTATTAGGTATAATGTTACCCGCAGGAAAATTGTTGTCGGCTTTTCCCCTTTGTAGGTTCGACAGCAAGTATTCAACATAACAATGCCGGAAAAACTCGGCCGCATGTGATTTTCGAAAGGAAAAACTATTTTACAAAAAAAAAAGAAGCATTTCGCATGTTCCTGGGCAGTATAAATACCTCAAGTAGAACACCTCAAGTCTTCATATGTGATTCCGCACCAATGTGTATACAAGACTCAATTTCACGTATGTTTAATGTTGTTTCCGACGGTTGTTCGACGCCGCTGGCGAATTTATTAGCATGTTAAGAACCGGCTGTGTCATGTCAAGTAGCAATAAAACAGTGCTTTGCTCAATCAAGACTATCCGTCTAAAGGGGCAGATGAACATATCATAAACTGGAGTGCATCCAAGGAACCATCAAACACTAATCATAGGAACTTCAGATTGGATTTCAACACTCCCTCTTTCACAGAACAACGTACAACAGGAAATCAATTGGATAGATTAGGAAAGAACCCCAACAATCCTTACAGGAAGTGAACAAGGAATTGGAAGACAGGGGATCCTAGAAATTTCCTTCAAGTATTTTCTTCAATTTTTCAACGGTTGCAGAAACTTACTACGCAGTGAAATGCGTTGTTTAATCACTTCGATATTGTATCTGTCTTCCAAGAAGAATAGAGAGCGGTATCTTAG